ACATGGTTTTATAAATGGAGACTAACGCCAAACGCGACAAAAAACCAACTTCTGCTCACGAACCACAGACTCAACGCTGACTCCCCTACAATAACTGCAGACGCCCAAACAACACAACCGAAAAACGACGTAAGGTACCTTGGGATAACAATCGACCACAAACTCAAATTCACTAAACACACACGAAACATCAGAACAGAAACGATAAAAAGAACAAAACACTTTCGATCACTAACATATAAAGACAAAGGAATTAGTACCAATACCGCGACAACAATATACAAAGCGATGTGCAGACCCCTCTTGGACTACGGACATATACTCATGGCCAACGGAACAGAAAGGACAAAACGATACGTACAAACAACTGAACAAATTGAACTAAGACTAATAACACGAATAAGACACCCCCAAAACCCCCTGCACAACCCTTCCAACCAACTACTATACGAACGCACAAACATGACCAAAATTTCGGAAAGACGAATACACTTACAGACAAAATGGACCTGGAAAAAAACCCTCACAACTGGACCATACTGAATCCCCGTTGCCATTCCCGTATTCGTACCGTTTCGTATATATATATATATATATATCTTTTCACGTAGAAAGTTTCCAATACAGTCCGTCCTCAGTTTTTTTTCTGGGAATTTTCAAAATTAAGTAAAATAAGTTTTCAAATTTATTCAGGTCGATTCAGCAAAACGACTCTTACAATTAAACGGAAAAAATCCTTCTTGAGTAGTTTCGCCCGCTCATCTTCCCATCTTCCTCATCGCCCGCAAGCCAGCTCATCTTCATGCTTTTCAGCACCTACTGTGGCAATTAATTCTCGGCCGAATCCCCGTTTCGACGCGACATTGCTGCTCCCAAGAGTGTTTCTCTGACCCATTTTGACGATGTTTTAGCTCAAATTGCGGATTAATTGGCCACTAAACTTCAACGGGTCGTAATTCCGTGAACTTTTCTGTAAATTTGCTACGCAAATAGATTTGAGGAAACCCATTTACACACGCGGTTTGATTTATGGGGCTTATTCCAGAAATATGATTTGTTGCATGCAGCCCAACACTTGCCACTTTAGCTGGTTCGAGCGCGTCGTTTTGGCCGCGACTTTTAAACTGTCCGAACAGCAAAGACTAAATAACATTAAGCAGCATTAATAATATTAATCGTTTCCTATCAGAAATTGCGTGGAAACAGGCGAATTGTTTCATTGTTTAATTGCGGTTTCATGTAGCAATTTTCGTGGAGGTTTTGGGTTGGAGGAGTGGAAATGGAACTGGATTGTTGTTTCAGGGATGTTCCTGAAGACGTTCTAAACACCTTCTGCTGGATTCACTCCACCTTTACCGTTGTGGATGCCAGCAGGAACATCGTTACTGATCAGGCCCACTATCCTGGGGTACTTTTCACGGGAAGTCGCCCCATTAGGCAAGTGCGCTATTACCAATGGGTGGCCTTTGTCCTGTTTTTCCAGGTAATGTTTTGGGAATTTTGCCATATTAAATATATACAGGGGATCTGAGCTTTTTTCCCAAAAAATATTCCCTGGTAAATAATTGATAGTTGCCAATTAAGGGCCTTTTAGAGCAAGTCCTGATCTGGCAAAGGCCTTTAATAGAGGCCCGATTCTTTGCTCGTGCTTGTTCCGTGCCTGGCTAATGCAGTCCAGACCTGTATTTTTACCTCCACCAAATCCAAAAATATTTCGACGGCCGCATGGTTTCGTCTCGGTTTTGACCAAACAGCGTCGGCACGAGCATCGCGACGTCGGTTGGCTGTGGCCAATTAGTTGGATTTTCGACGGGGTGCAATTGCACGTGGATGCGATCACGTTACCAGCTGTGACCAGTGGTGGCGCGATTAGTTTGGCCAGATGCGTGCGGAATGTGGACCAGCAAGCTCTCACTGTTTCTGTGATTTTCAGTGCTTCCGCTTCTTCGTTTGGGCCGCTGGGCATCCAGAAGTTGAAACTTGGCGGAATCTGGGACAGCAACAAGCAACTTTGTCTAATTTTAGATTCTGCTAGACAAATACTGATTTGAGATGAGTGACTGGATTATTGTTTAGTAGCCACTCTTCATCCGTCCATTCAGTGCCTTAACTGATTAGCATGTTAATTCGTCGAGCCATTGAGCATTATGAGCAAACAATCGAACAAACAGACTCAATCCTCAGCACGGAGCTCTAGACCAAAATGTTGGATATCTTTAGAGGCCTGAAGTCGCTTTTGAAAGTCAGCAGCATCCACATTGATTCGCCAGTGTTTCGACTGCACTATTCCATAACAGTGTCCATTCTAATCGCGTTTTCCCTGATCGTAACCACGCGCCAGTATGTTGGAAATCCCATCGATTGCATCCACACAAAAGAGATTCCCGAGGATGTTTTCAACACTTTCTGCTGGATTCATTCCACATTTACCGTCTCCACCAACAAACAGGAACCGTATGCCCGTATGTACCTACCGGGCAGTCCTGGTATAAGAACAATGCACGATGAGAAGGATAAGAAAGTCTACAAGTACTACCAGTGGGTCAGCTTTTGTCTGTTTTTTCAAGTGAGTAGAGTTTGCATCAAAACCGCGTTGTTAACACACCATTAACAGCCGCTCTAAGGACAGCGAACGGCCGTTAAACACTCTTCACATCCATTGGATTGATCGCCCTCCGTACAATAAAACATAGTTCTGGTTTATATCCGACCAACTCAGATTTATGCGTGTTCCACCTAATTAGGCGTTCCATAAATTAAACTGTTTGGAATAAATTTCACAAGACTCAAACACACCGGGCTATTTGCGTCCACGTTAATTGATTAGGTTGGGAACTGATGTGAAATTGGCCAATAAATGGGCGACAATGAATGAATCAAGTGCCCGATGTTCACCAGAGGAATTCCGAAGCGAAAATCTGTTGGCAATCATTGAGAACACTCTCTAAATGCCTGTTGAATTCAGGAAAATCCCAAATGCTCTTGCATTTTTAATGGGGCTTTTTATTAACAATTCCATGGGGTTTTCGATATGTTCCAAACTGCAGCAGCTACTTGACTGCGGATGTAGAAGCTGATGCAAAAGCAGAGAATAATAATATTGGCTTATTCCCCAAATCGCGTCTAGATGGAAATTTACTTTTTATTTCATTGTGTAGAGAAAGAGTTACTCTTGAAGTACGCTTTTACCGATTAAAAGACGCATTTCCATGATTTTTGGTGATTTTACAAACTTTTAAGTTGAAGTTGCAATGTTTGCTCTAATCAGTGGCTATTAAGCTTTTTGGAAATTCTCACTCAAAATTGGGATAATCAAGGACAATTCTTCTTGCCATTCTACAATCCACAATTCTAGCCATTGTATAGCGTAATATTTTGTCTATTATCATGCAAATTATTATTTTAATCACAGTTGATCTAGAGTTTCGACAAATTTGTGAACTTTTAATCGCATTTGGTCATTTTCGCATTTTCTAAAAATCCTCACTCAAAACCTGTATCAGCTAGAATTCTCTACCTAACGTAGTTTGAAAGAGAAATAATTGATTAGTGTATCTACTGATATCTCAATGCGATTTTCTTCCGATTTTTAACAACATTAAATTTCGAGTTGATATCGCGAGGTTTTTTTCACGGAGCCGCTCCAAAGCCAAGCACAAAATTCTCGTTACAAACCGGGGTGAACCACAGAAATCCTTTTCCCACCATTCTATAAAGAAACCTGTGGTCTGTTAGTGCATAAAATATTTTTTTGAACGCAGTTTTCCGCAATTTGCTACAATTTTCTATACTCTCAAGATAAAAGTGCGACGTCTGCCTAAGCTGCAACTGGCCGTCCAATACACTAGTTACTGAGGATTTTCTAACATCCTCACTCAAAACTGGTACAAGGTGGACAGCTCAATTTCGCGGCATTTCAAAGAAAAAAGTTTCCTTTATTCGTGCGTCCATTGATATTTCAAAGCCAATTTTTCTCGATTTTTGGCGACGAGAAATTTTGGAGTTGTTTTCTATCATCCGCGGCAAAGCAATTTTTAAAATTCTCGCCGAAAATCGTAGTAAACTTCAGAAATCCTTTTGACACTATTATATAGAGAAAGCCTTGCTCTATTAATGAGCTAAATATTTTTTTAATTGCAATTTTCCGGAGTTTTCCACACTTAATTTTCAAAATTTTTAAGTTGAAAGTGCATATTTTCAAAAAATTCTCACTTCAAATTTACACTAATCACACATCGTCCTTTTATATCGTTGGATAGGCAGAGCCTTGCTCTATTAGTGCTTTAATTTTTGTTTCATTTGCAGTTGATGTCGAGTTTTGGCAAATGTTTAAACCTTTGATTGAAATTGGTCATCTAATCGCTTGTGACTGAGCATGTTCTAAAAATCCTCACGCAAAATTGCTACCAGCTAGACAGCTCAATTTAATGGCGTTTGATAGAGAAAAGTGTCCTTTGTTCAAGCGTTAGTTCATGTATAGAAGCCAATTTTTCCCGGCTTTTGGGGGCATTAAATTTTCGAGTTAAAAATTCAATGCTTTTTCTAATAATCGCCGCATAGAATTTTGAAAAAATTCTCGTTCTCAATTGCAGTAAAGAGAGATCGTTTTTACACTAGTGTATAGAGAAAGGTTGGCTTTATCACACCGCAAAACATTCTTTGTGTGGCAGTTTTTGTCAGTTTTTGAAAACGCTTTAAACTTTAATGTTAAAAATGCGATGTCTGTCGACCAGTAAATTTTCGAAACACTCTCATTTCAAACTCGCCTTAATACACGTAGTCTTTTTATACCATTGTATAAGGAAAACTTCGCGCTATAAGTGCGCTAAATATAATTTCAATCTCAGTTTATCTCGATTTTTGGGCAATTTCAAAAAATTCGTTTGCAACTGGCCATTTGCTAAAACTCCTCACTCAAAACTTTTTTATCGGCCTCAATTTAACGGCGTTTTAATTCATAATTGAAGCGTCCAGTTATATTTCAATGCCATGATTTCCGATTTTTGGCTTCCATAAATTTTCGAGTTGAAATTGCAATGTTATTTCTAACCACCCGCGGCAAGCAATTTAAAAAAATTCTCGATCAGAATTGCAGCAAACAACAGATATAATTTTCACACTAATCTATAGAGCAAGCGTCGCTCTGTTAGTGTGCGACGTCGTCTTTTTATATAAGTTTTCTTGATTGTTGACAATTTTTTAGACTTTCAGGTAGAAAATGTTTGTGCAATCTGAGCTGCACATTTTCACAAAATTCTCACTTCAAACTTGCGCGAACACAAGTCGTATTTTTATTCCGTTGAATACAGACAGTTTTGCTCTATCAGAGCCCCAATTAGTATTTCAATCACAGTTGACTTCAATTTTTGCAAATCTCTGAGCTTTCGGTCGCAACTGGCCATCTAATCACTAGTGACTGAGCATGTTCTAAATCTCCTCACTCAAAACTGGCACCAACTAGAAATATTTCGATAACGACAATCAATAGAGGATGATTTTCCCCATCAATTGCTGAAATTCGATTTCAAATGCATTTTTTGGTGATTTTAGGCGATTTTCTAAGCTTTCGAATTGAAATTCCAATCCCGGACGCGATAAAGAATTTTTCAAAAAATTCTCATGCAAAATCTAGAATATCTTGAAAACCTCTATTAGCGAACTTTGACTCTATTAGCGAACAAAGTTGTGTTTAAATGCAGATCTTTTTCCAATTTTTGGAATTTTTTTAAGCGCTGAAGCTGAAATTGAAATGTTGGCCCTAAGCGCACGAGCTTTAGTAATTCGACAAATTCGACAATACCAATTCGCAATTTAATCACCAAGGAAAAGGATTTTGCAAACATTTTCTTTCAAAATCAAGGCTGACTAGAAATCTTACACCCTTTAATAGGGAATTAGAAGATACATTTTTCTATTAGTGCGCTTAATGATGAGCCCATTTATTCGATCATAATTTTTCAAGATATTTGGGAAGGTTCTGAGGAAAACGGCGATCGATCAACAGCAACTTCGAATGCATTTAACTGATTTTAATCGGAATTTGCTTCAATTTGAAAGAACTGAGTGACTAGTTTCGGATTCCATGAAACGCCCAACATTGCAAGATTCTATTTTAACCGGGATATTTATTTGATCTAAACCGCGGGTTAGTTAATAATAGATTAGAAGTGAACTCAGTTATTATTACTATGTCAGATGTCAAAGAACGCGCATACTTCAATGGATGTTTGTTTTTGGCCCCGGAAACTTGATGGACGATCAATCACCAGTGTGCATCTGGAAAGCGATCAGTTTTTCGTAAAAATTCTACGTATTGTTTGACAGTTTTGCCCCACTTTGGTTTGTTGTGTATTTTTGAGTGGAAGTTGACCCGAAAACAATACAGACAACAACGCATTGTAACATTGTTGGGCGATTTCAAAAATACTTAATTTCCTAGAACGGTCGTTGATCCACGTTCTGTTGGCCAGCTGCCACTGATTAGTGCACTTTCAGCATATTTCCTCCTGCTGTACGATTATCAACAAAAATAGCTAGTTTTTGCACGAAAGAAAACCCTTTTATCGAAATGAATAGTTGGGCATATTTGGCGGTTTTTATGGCATCCGTTTCTCCCCTTAATCTACTTTCAATTCATCCTGATATCATTCGAATGGGATAAAAGAAGTGCATTTCCAGCAAAACATCTACTTTTTCTTCGTGCGGAAAGCCAATCGTATAAATTTTGTTTTGCTTTTGTTCATTGGCCAGTTTTTTCATCGCAAACATTTCGCCCTTAGATTTTTACAAATTTTGCGTCAATTTCTGTGTAACCGTTCTGGTGCTTTTGTGTCTGAATATCTAGAACTGTGAGCTAATTTTGAAAAAGAAAAACAAAACATTCGATTCCCTGGAGCCAGTTTTCTAAGTGTTTTTTCCGTGCAACCAATTAATCCAGTTGACCAATCGAAGGCCGTAGCTCTATTTTAAATAAAGTTGTCAACTCCTAACATGTTTTCGAGTAACGAATGGCTTCAGAACATCATGTTGAAAAACAATGTACTTGTCAAGGAAATTGGTGTCCGAATATCTCTTGCGACTCGATTTAACGCATTTGCTTTGGACAGCGGCCAAGACCTATCCAATGTTCTTGAATTGTCCGATTTTTTCCCGATTAGTTTCGCCCGTTTGAAAGTATCTTCTTCTATTTCCAGCCAGGGGAAATTGCATTTCGATGGCACATTAAGCGTTTAACGATTATGGATTTGAATCGTAAAAATATCGTAAAATGTTACTTAGCTGAGAATCTGTTGACCAGCGTGGACTGTGCAAAGTGTTTTTTCATTCAGTTCGGGCGTCAGAAGTTGGTATTTTAAGGAAAAAAACACCTGCCTCGAAGGACTAAAATCCATCAGCTTTGCCAGATTTCCCAAATAATCAACTACCCGCAATTTGTAAACTACGACAACATTTGCTTATAGTTTGAGGATAGAAAGTTATTATTTTCAAATTTAGTTGCTCGATTGCATAATGATGAACAACTGAAACATTTGGAAATCCCTATGAATGTCATGAGACTTTGCCAAATGGTTGCGGGAAAAATTTGAATTTCTCCCCATTTTGGCGACAAATTCCTGTGAAACATCGGCCTACTTGAGACGTTACATGAAATTAAACAAATCGCTATTATAATCCAACCTTGGGCCAGATTCAAACGTAAACCGATTGTTCCTGCTCTGTTTATGCGAATCCCGAAATACAATATTTATGATTTATTTTTTTCGGAACTTCCCGGCCAGATGCCGCTCAGGAATCCGGCGGAAAAATCCTCACTTTTCCTCAATTAACACGAACTGATTAAGCCGTTCTATTGCAGGCGATTTTGTTCTACACACCGAGGTGGCTGTGGAAGTCGTGGGAGGGTGGCAAAATTTCCGCCCTGATGATGGACTTGGACGTGGCTGTTTGTTCCGAGATCGAGAAGAAACAGAAGAAGAAACTGATGATCGACTATTTGTGGGAGAATTTGCGCTTCCACAATTGGTGGGCGTATCGATATTATTTCTGCGAAGTGCTGGCCCTGGTAAACGTAATCGGTGAGTTATTAACATTTTTCTTTAGTTAATAAAGTGAGTCATTAAGAGAGCGGATTAGATCAGAGGCTAACTGCCAACAAAGTTGAAATGTGCAAAGACTACTTGGAATCTCTTACAGATAATAATTTTTGTTAAATCTCCAGTAGGAATTGATAGCTTTTAAAATGTTCTATCGAAAAGGTTCTGATAGATGTGTGGGTATTTTCAACCGTCTATGAAATAGAGGCTCTTAAACCTGGAGCCTGCCGAAAATTTGACATTCTATAGTCCAGTTCGTTAAACCCTCTATCGAAACGGTTTCTTTTGTAATTTCTGTATTTTCGGCAGTTTTCGAAGTACAAGCTTTCAAACTGGGACGTCGCTTTAAAATTTGACATTTTGCCTGCTAACTTTTTAAAGGTTAGGAATGGGCGAAAAATTCCTAGAACTTAAGTAACGGATTATTCAATTCGAGGTTGGGAAAGTAAAACCTTAAAGCAAAAGTTAACGTCATGCCGTAAGTTTGCCATTTTGGAATATGAATCGTTTAGCTGTCGAAAAACGCGTAAAAATTATTCTAATTATTCAATCTTACTTTAGGGCTTTACGAGCAGATTACTGTCGATATAATCGACCCACAGAGCAAACAATTTCGATCACAGTTGAAAAATTTGAAGAGACTGGATCGGTTACTGATATTGTAAGGCATGTGCATCATCGCAACATTCGTTCAGCTGAAAATATCTCTGTTGTTGCTCAAAGTGCGGAGGAAGACCCGAATTCGTCGATTCCCCGAACTTAAGCCTCAAGACCATGGACAACGCAGAACATACGCAAATTGGGTGATTGAACAACAAGCCGTTGATGATTTTTGGAGCAGAATTTTCTTCAGCGGTGAAGCTCATTGTTCGTTCGGTGGATACGTGAATAAACAGAACTCAAAATCCTCAGGTGATCGCAGAAAAGCCTTTGCATCCTGAAAAAGTGACCGTATGGTATGCATTATGGTCCGCTGGTGTTATTGGCCCGTACTTTTTTTTAAACGATCAAGGAAGAGCCATAACAGTCAATTCTGAGCGCTATGGACGCATGTTAAGCGATTATTTTTGGACAGAAATTGAAGATTATGATCTGGAAGAAATGTGGTTCCAGCAGGATGGGGCAACGAGTCACACAACACTGACAGTTAGAGCTCTATTGCATGAGAAATTTCCAGGACGCGTAATTTCAAGATTGAGCGATGACAATTGGCCCGAAAGATCATGCGACTTAACACCGTTAGATTTCTTTTTGTGGGGCTATGGGAAAGATCGAGTTCACGCCAATAATCCTCAAACTCTTGAGCAACTGAAAGCCGATATTCGTGAAGTTATGACCGAGATATTACCGGTACTGTGCCGAAAAGTCATTAAAAATTACCTCAAAAGGATTGAGACCTGTAGGAGGTCCCGTGGAGGACATTTAAATGATATTGTTTTTCACGTAAATGGCAAGGTTTAATATTTATATTGAATTAAAATTTTCGTCTTTATCTGAATATTTTGTGTGATGTTTTTTACTTTGCTTTCCCAAGCACAAAATGGATAACCCTGTAGTTCGTTAAATCCTCTGTCGAAAACGTTTCATTCAAAATTTACCTATTTTAGCCGTATTAAAATTGGACATTTTGCCTCCTAGCTTTTTAACGGTTAGGAATGCGTGATAAATTCCTAGAACGTAAAGACAGACCGTTAAACCCTCTGTCGAAAAGGTTTGTTTAAAATTTCTCTAATTTCAGTCGGCTACGAGTTAGAAACTTTTTAACTTTGATTAGCTCACATTAGATATTTAACATTAGCTGTTAGGATTTTTAGGGGATGAAAGCCATAAAAAAATAAACAGCTCTGGGCACCGGATAACTAATTCCGCCTATATTTTCAGGGCAAATGTTCCTAATGAACAGATTCTTCGATGGCGCCTTCCTGATGTTCGGCCTCGATGTGATCGCCTTCATCAACACAGATCAAGAGGACCGAATCGACCCGATGATCCAGATCTTCCCCCGCATGACCAAATGCACGTTTCGCAAATATGGAGTGTCTGGAGATGAAGAAAAGCACGACGCTCTCTGCATTCTACCGCTGAACGTTGTCAACGAAAAAATCTACGTCTTCCTCTGGTTCTGGTTCATCATTCTATCGATACTGACGCTGCTCACGGTGATTTACCGCATAATCATAATTTTTTCGCCGCGGATGCGCGTCTATTTGCTCAGGATGCGGTACCGATTGGTGCGGAAGGAAGTGATTGACACAATAGTGCGTAGAAGTAAAATGGGCGATTGGTTCCTCTTCTATATGCTGGGGGAGAATGTGGACTCGTTGATATTTCGGGACGTTTTGCAGGATTTGGCCCACAAGTTGAACCGGCACGATTTCCATCACACGCCCGGTTTCAAGGGCGAAATCCAGGAAGCCTGAACTGTTAGGGTTCCGTTTCTTCAGTTCCAAACCATTCAGGATCTCAATCTATGTTTAATGCTGCCAAAACCACAATCATTTCAATTCAATTTCAATTCGAGTTGCTGCTGCACGTAAGCGTGCATATTTTCGCATAGATCAAACCAACATTCCCACTGAAAGAAAGGCTTCATGTTCGTTTGTTGATGTCGCGTTTGGGTTGCGGCCTTAGTCGAAATATAGTCGTTAGTCGGTGTGTTTGACGAAATATGTTTTTATTATATAAGGACGTAGAAGAGCAGTAAGAAACGACAATAAAATTTTACAGTGTTCAGTAGTTGTTGCCTCATTCAATTATTCCTCTTCTAGTTAGAAGCCCATTTTCTTCCAAACCTTTGCATTTAGACCCTTTGACTAAGGGCATATTTTTGGTGTAAAAAAACCACAGGCTCTCATCCAGTCCTAGCAATGCATAGCTCCAGGGGCGTAAAAGTTAGAGGCAAAAATCCTACTCAATGTCGAGGAAACAATTAAGCCGAGCAACCAGCCTATAAAAGTCTAGCCAATTATGTATATGAGGCCATAAAGCAAACGGTTACAAGAACGCGCACTTTCTTCGTAGGCCTTTTTCGAGCCAAACTAAACCACTTTTACTTCAACGACATCGAGTGTGGCGCAACAAAACACTGTAGGAATTTGAACTGTTTTTCCGGAAATCTAGCGAGAAAACTATGCGAACGACCAAACAAAGGCTGGAGAAAGTGATTTTTTAATCTATTTAATTTAATGTTCACTCCCTTCACTAAACCGCCCCAGTTTAAACATTCATAATTGGCGTCGTCCATAGTAAACAATGGACTGTTAAATTATAACATGTGTGGGACTTTCCCCAATGAGACTGGAGGTTTAATTCCTCACAAAGGGGGGCATCTCTGTGGGTCTACACGACGCAATCAATTTGGGCAGACTTCCACTTGAATAATGTATATTTCGGTCTAGATTCGACACCAACGCAATATGAGAGCAATTAAGTCATCGCAGTGAAATTCTTGTCGGCATTACGTCTACTCGATTATTCAAACCGTGAGCCGTTTATGTAAGGAAAACGCCCCGGGATTTGCATTTTTCGCTTGCCATTTCACTTTCGACTGTTGACCGCTTGATTAGCATCAAAAGCGCCAAAATTCCCGAACTCACACAAGCCTGCCCACTTTACCTCCAAAGCAATTCCGTTCTCTACAAAAAATGTCTTTTGACTTTTTTGCAGGCACCCCCCCAGTCAGTGCTCAGAGAATCAATCAAGAATGCGAGTTTACTGGGAAAAGGAGGCAAATAGTGCTTTTGGGCGAAAACGGCCACTTTTATGCCAAGTTTTCCAAGACGGCAAAAATCAGGGATTATGGTGGTTTGGGCGAAATTTGCAGTATGTCGAGCGATAACTGTCTGCTATCGACTGTGGAAGGTTCAAGCGTGTGCTTTCTCCAAATTGGAAGTTGGGATTTTTTGAAGCAAAGAGTGCTTTTGGACAAAAAAATCCCTATTTTTATGCCAACTTTTCCAAGTGGGCAAAAATCAGAGAGTAAGGCGATTTGAGGGCAATTTTCAGTATTTTGAGCTTCAACCGTTATCTATAGACTGAAAAAGTTTCAAGTGTCTGCTTGCTCTAGATTCGAACTTGGGATTTTTTGAAGGCATCCCCCCAGTCAACGTTTATAGAATCAATCAAGATTGCGAGTTTACTGGGACAAGGAGGCAAATTTGGGAATTTTCCTAAACAGCTTTTTTGGGGACAATCAAATACTAATATAACCAAAGTGGAAGTTTTCGGCAGCTCCAGAGCCGCATTAAGGCATGATTTTTGAAAACTTGAAAACCCCCCTAGACCCTGGGGAAGTGACGGTAAAATTTCGCTTAAATCCCGCTAAAGCCTGAGCAAATGTAAAAAAATCTCCTTTCCAAACTCTCAACGGCCGCCCCTGTCAAATAAATGAACTTTTTCCGAGCCACCCAGTAGATGGGGAATTATTTTAGGAGTTCAGTGGTTGAATTGGCATAAAAATGGGGAATAGTTGGAGTGACACAAAACGGTACCATTGTGAGTCAGATCGGGTGCCCGAGTTTCCCCCAAGTGGAGCCGCCCGACGGAGGTTATAAAGAGAACCCGAATGGTTCGCAGTGCAAGACATTGAAGTCCGCTCGCACTGTTACATTTGCGAAATCAAACGCGACCAGAGTACCGGATTAGGCGAGTTTGTGGTAGCTGAAGACGAAGGAAACGCAGAAGTCGAAGATCTTGTGCGCGCTACTTAGTGGATTAATCCCCAAAGCGTCCAATGAGGAGTGAAACTTTGGTGAGTAGAAATTTCATGCTTTTTTGAATTCACATGAATTTTCCCCCGGCCAAACTCACTTGGAGGGTATTGGGACTTGGCAAAGGCTTTGGATAGAGCGCAATTTCAAACCGTGATAGCTGATGTAAATAAGAAAGCTCCAGTGGATTTCTCAAGTAGACAATCAAGCGGCTAATTACGGCACTTGAAAGCACATGTGCACTTTCCTTATTAGCCAGCTTTTGGCGTAATATCAGCGGCCACTTTCTACAATTTACCCGGAGATTTCCAATAGATTAAGTGAGATCGATCTGTTGTTAATCCATTGACCCGATTAGGGGCAAACTATGACCGCATATTGCACGGCAATGAAATTAAGAGTAAATCGCTGATCTAATTGGTCACGACTGTGCGCTTATGGAATGCTAATTGGACCCCTATTCGCCAATCCATTCATTTGTCCAGTTTTATTGCAATTGGACTTTTTTTTAATCGAGCGCGACTTTCTCGCATATAAATAGTCTTCAGGCTCTCCGGACGGCTGTTAAACCAACCATACTAATTCAACAGATCCTAGAGGCTCAGAAATTCCAAGAGAAAAGCTGAAAAGTTTGGTATTTCAAGCCAGCAGAGGCCAAAGAATGTCCATCTATGCATACTAATAGTTTGACTGTGAAACAATGGGCAAACTGCATAAAGCGGGTTGCCCAAGGGGCCGAATTGAGGTGACCGACTGGTGAAAATGCGACAAAAATGTCGTAATGAAGTAATTACTATTAAACTCGTGAGAACATGTGCCATTGTTCGGGCCGCAGGTATCGAAACTGACCTTTGCTGCCGCTTGCTGCAACCGATTTCGTCACTTGAAGTCGCCATCTGGCTTATTGAGGAAATATAGAGGCACTCGTTCTCTATTGCACGGAGTAAGTGTTGATTGAGTAGCGGGTCCTGGCTTGGAGGAATTCGCTTGTCTGCAAAGTTAAAAGTAGGAATTTTCTGCTCGACTTTTAGAAATTTCTGGAAAATTCGTAGAGCGGGTGATGCTATTGAGGGTTTTTCGAAAAATAGAGCGAAGAAAGCTCTATCGAACACTTTAAGCTCGAATGGAATTTCAAGTTTAGTTTAAAAGGAACAATTTTTTGAAAACTGGACTTGAAAATTCCACCAAACTCTACCAAACGGCGAATTGTGACAAAACTTTCGTAAAATTTAAGCCAAAGTAAGAGCTGTTCGACGATTTAAATTCCAACTTGTTTGCAATTGGAGTAAAATTCCTCTTCGAACAGCAAAATTTAATATTAATGAGTTGGCAATTTGAAAATAAAAAATTCGTGGAAATTAGAAAAACGACTTGTTGCCATCAGGCTGATAGCAAAAATAGAGAAAAGTGTGCTATATTCAATAGTTTATATAGTAATGTGGACGAAAACCCTTTTTATGAGAAACGCTATTTTTTTAAATAATCTGTAAATGCAAAGTTTGAGACAAACACTGCAAATTCAGAAATTCGTAGAAAAACAGCAGAAGCTTTGATTCAAATTAAAGTTGCACCAATTAATGAACAAAATAGGGGTTATTAAATATCGCAAACGGCAACGTTGGCGAAAAATTTGCATTTTAGTAACGCAGTTCTTTGGATTAGTCAACAAAGTGCGAAGTTCAAGACAAACTAGTTGATAACGGCACGTTTAAAAATTCTTTAAAAAGTACCTAAAGCATCCGTTGCAATGAAATTTCCAACAAATATGGCGCAAATGTTTGGGTATGTATGGCGATAAGCTGTAAATGAATAGCACATTGCAATTTGGAGCAACTGATTTTTAAAAATCTGGTTGTAAAGTGCACATTTTCAGATAATCATGTCAAATTCAGAAATTCCTGGAAAGTGGGCAGAATCCCTGATTGAAATCAACGTCACACCAATTATCAAGCCAAGTGGACTCTATCCAATATCACAAACGAGAACGTTAGCGCAAATTCTCTTTTGCAGCAGTCCACAAAGTACCGAAGTTTAAGGCAAACAAGTTAGTAACCGCACGTTTAAAAAATCGTTAAAAATTACCCAAAGCACCTCATGCAATGAAACTTAGAGCAAATATAGTGTATAAGCTGATCTATGTATGGGAGCAAATGCATGCAAATGCAAAGGCAAAAGCATATGGAATTGGCAAGAGCAAACTTAAAAATTCGTAAAAAATCCCCAAACCTCTCAATCCTCATGAAACTTTCGGAAAATACTACACAATGTCAGATCTATGCATTGGCGTAACCCGGCGCTGAACAAATAAATCACATTTGTATATGCAGTCGTTCAAAAGCTGAAGTTTTGCAGATAATTCCATTGAGAAGTTTCTTCACATTTCGTCCCTTCATCTAGTGTGGACAAGGCCAGTTTTAATTGATTTCGGTGTCCTGAACCGCAACAACTCGCAGCACAAAAACCGCAGGATTTTAATAAATTTGCTTGAATGGTGGAACGCATGAAGAATTGCAACACCTCCAACTGGAAGACCGAAATTACGAAATTGCACACAAGAACGGTTGACTTCCTAACGTTGCACGTCATGCGTGAATTTAATAAAAATTGACGAATTATATAACGCACGTTTAATTAACCAACAATTAGTTCATTGATTATTCGCGGCAGATAAATGGGCTTTCACCTGCGACTAGACCAGTTGATTGGCGTCAAAACGAAATTTCTAGAAAAAGGCTACGTTGGGACTTGCCTAAGAAAATTAGCTCAAAACATACCCTTGACGCAGAGTGTCGCAACTTAGCCATGTATTTGATAGACAACGATGCTCATTGTAGGCAAATTTTGCGTTTTTAATGTGCATTTGCATAAGTTCGGTCCAACACGCAACAATACCGATTGTGCAACGCATTCTTTAATTCATTCATTGTTGCTGTCAGGACAATAAGTTGACTTGTATAAATCACGCGCCCGAATTTTAACTGAACAAGACCAACAGGTGGTTTATATTGAAGAATTTCTGGTTTTTTTCTCTTTCACGCGCCTTATACCGTACTCTATCCTCACGGCCTCCTTCAGCGGATTTCATTCAACCGATAAATCATGGCGTTTTTCCACTTTCGATTCCACTAGAATCAGAAATCGCACGCTTGCAACCCAGTTACCTTGACCTTTTTGGGTACCTAACGTAAGAACCACAGATCTCGTTTTTTCGCTTAAACCAGTCCATTTTTCGTGACTGGACCCGGATTATCGCCGATCTGCTCCAATTCGATACTGCTGGGAATTTCCGCATTTTAGAATACTGAATAGAATTGAATGTTCAGTGGTATTTTAAGGTTTAGAGTTTTACAGGACATTTTTTAAAATTTCCTGCATCATTTGAAAAGCATGGCATCCAAATAAAACTCGTAAAACTAAAAGCGAAAATAGAGTAAAGTTGGCTCTATTCAGCGGAGGAAACATCTCGGTTTAATCTCCGTTAGTTTAAGAGATATTAATTATTAAAAATATTAAAAATTATGCTGCACTTATGTGGTTCTTGAAAAACCATCAGTGCTTAAAAAATTACCAAACTTTAACCAACTAGCCGATTGTTATGGCACTTGTAAGATTTGTATAGAAAATTGTACTCTATTGAGTGCTGTAGAAAGAAAGTAGAAAAGACTCGTGAAGCGACCCATTTCAGTATGTTTATGAAACATTAATTGATGTAAATCAGGTTTCAACTTCTACTCTTGTCCTTAAAACCACCTGCAATTTAACAATGGACGAAAATTGTGTACAACCGCCAATTATACTGACATTTACAGCATGTATAGAGGAAATAGTCCTATATTTAATGCTATATAAATATGGGTCCCAGCCCGATCTGTTAAAGAGAAAACATTAAAAATTCCTGCAAAATCCCCAGAAGCAGCAATGGCAATGAAACTTTTAAAAAACATCGACGGTGCTCTCTATAACACCGCATAAATTGCGAATGATTAAAATTTCCGTTTTTGCAAAATATTTTTTTGAAAACTTGTCTCCTCAATGCCTTCAAGAAAGCAAATTAACACATTATAATCAAGAAAAAAATAGGAATTTAATAGGAAAATCTACTTCAAGACAATTTGGACGGTGCACAGAGATCATTTTGCAATATTCTATTGAGACTTCCAAAAATTCTTGAAAAATCCAAAAACGCGCCGATCACAATCAAACTTTCCGCAGATTGAGAGCAAAGTATGCTCTATGCATTGAGATGATGGGCATTCGGTTGCTACATTTGGTTTGAGAGAAATATGATTTTAAAACCAGAAGTCCTAAGAAATGATAGTCGAGGAAAGCAAAATAATTAATTAATAAAAGCTGAATAATTCCTGAAAAATCCCCTATCTATCGAAATGAAACTTCCAACAAATATGACACAAATTCCGCTCTATTGACCAGAGGCAAAAGTAATTAGCTAGGAAGTCCCATTGGCAAGGACGAATTTTTTGAAAACTAACGTGGCGAAACCAAAAAATTCCTTGCTCCACTAGACGTTTTATTACTAACTTAGACCTTCGAAGGGAGATTTAAAGAAGGTAGTTTTTCGGTAAAGAAGCTGGTCATTGGCTGGTTGGCTGATCACATCAGCCTACTAATACAACAAATATGCAATAAAACGCAATCGGTGAACGATTCTATGGAAGTGTAATTGAAGCGAACTGGTTTAAGCAGAAGGTAAAAAAACAACCTCCACGGCTCTTTCAACGGTTTCAACATACACATCACGGAGTCACGCGGTGAAGGACACTTCTGAAAGGCGTGGTACTTTTACTAGATCGCCTTAGACGATTAACAATCGAATCGGTGGGATTCGGAAATGTTACGGTACGAATTCATTGTGAATTCCAATAATCACCATAATATGCCAGTCACGGATCCTGGCTTAACATCCTAGAAGTCCTATGAAGTTTAAATTTCATTTCCTTGTACATTTTAACGAAATCGTTCGAAATCGGAGCATTTCCTTTCGCTGCTAACAATCTCTTCATATTTGCTCACTTTCTACGGATGCAGTAGACCATAACTGGGCTAAGTAGGTATTTGCGTTGCACAATTCATACTCCTGCTGCTGCTGCTGTTGCTGCTTAAAAGCAAGCCGGGATAACTTTTTAGAGGTTCTTGCAAACGTTACTCGATTTGCTTTAGGTAAAAGTCAAACCTTGAAGCCTTCGGCTTAATTGTTGGCGGTCAGATTGCCCACATTGCAGGATTCAGGAAGTTTTTCTAGCGATAACGAGCCTTGAAAATCTACATCCTTAAGTAACTGAATTCGATGCAATTCTTTCAGTGGTTGGTGCTGTTAGGCCTGACCTTAGCTCATGTCATCCAGGCCAGAAAAATCCGCGTTCAACCTCGCCTGCTACCGCAGGACGAACAGGGGGATGAAGGCATCGAGTACTACGCGGCTGAACCTGCCCAAGACAGACAACGCGTTGTTTTAGGTAAAAAGTCCCTTAATTTTGCCTAAGTACTAAACGCAATTTAAGTCTCTTCAGATAACTATAACGGCCTGTATGGGGAGCAAACAGCGTCGGCCCGACAGGACAACTACCTGCAACGGTCTCCTGCAAAAGGACAAACTTACGTTCAAAGGGTGAAGGAGGCCCCCAGAGAACCGCCGGTTCAAACCATCAGGTGCTTAGTGGACTTTTGCGAAATTTCCAAACTGATTGCAGAATGTTTTCAGGAACTACAACAAAGTGAACGACGATGGTTCCTTCACCTTTGGGTATGAGGCTGCTGATGGCAGCTTCAAGGAAGAGACCCGCGGTACCGATTGCGTGGTGCGAGGAAAGTACGGTTATGTGGATCCAGATGGGAACAAGAGGGAGTTTACCTATGTGTCAGGCAACCCTTGCGACCCCAACGCACCGAAGGAGGAAGACGATGAACCCAATGGTATGACCAAGATTTCAGATCATGAGACCTGGAGAAGTAGGCAAGATAATAAACGGTTACACCGTGACGATTTCAAAGTGCTCTAATTGTTTGCTATTTTTCCCAAAACGCAGCGAATTTTTGGCGGATTTTGAAATTTCGAAAACTGTATGGTAGCAGCGGTATTCGCCTGTAAATACCACGTTTTGCAGCGCAAAAATTCCCCAATTCAACAAAGAGATTTACGGTTAACTAGGGCATTTTCAAACTTTCAAACTTTTCAATGTCACATGAGCCCTATTTTGTTCAGTTCTCAGGTTATTTTTTGGGTCATTTTAAATGTTTCAAAGATGTGTTAAAGCGAAAGTTTTTTTTTGGAATCGAAGACATTATGAGCCAAAACTCCCTAATTTGTGCGCCGATTTTGAAGTTTAAAATCTCGGAATAAAGAACAGGAAACTATCTTTCTAAAAATTAACCAAGACAAAAATTCGGAAAACCCACCGAGCAGGAGCTGGGTACACCCGGGCAACTTTAAACCCTTATTGCTCAGATTCAGGCAATCAAGAAATCTCAACACAAAATGCTTGCAGAAAGTGCCGAAAACGAAAACGTGCCAGCCAACTACCCGACCAGACCCATCCGCCCTATTCAGCGCCCAGTCAGCACCCCCAAGCCGGTCACCCTGTTCCAATCGCAGTACGACCAAGGGGAGGACGAACAGCCTGAGCCCGAGCAGCTGCTCAGACCAACGCCTGCGGTAAGTTGCCACCAAGCGAACCCTCGCATTTTGCTAATCCCTCATCTTGCAGCCAATCAGAAGCCGACCCCAATACATCGCCCGGCCGCAGTACCAGTCCCAATCCGAACAGCCAGTGTCGTACCGACAACAACAAGCTCAACCCTCCAGCACTCCTGCTTCTACTGTTTATAGGTGGGTTTTCAGTGTTTTGACTTAGAGCTGATAGAGGTTGACTGTTGTCTTTGGCAACAGGCAGCAGGTGGCGCCAGTGACCATCACGCCCAGGCCGATCTACCAAACGGCGTCCCCAACGTCCTCTACTAGAGCACAGCTTCCTCCCACCACCTTCAGACCTCAGCTGCTTCAAGTGTCGCCCACTCCTAGGCCTAGTTTGCTCTATACCCCCAAGGCTGCGTTGCCGTCACCATCTCCAACCAAAGGAGTAAGTGATGGTTCGCTCCGTACGTTTCTTCTACTAATTGCTGGTTTGTAGATCGACTTTGATGCGGAGTTCCAAAGATTCCAGCAGGAGAACGACTTAGGCTCGCCAGCAACAGCGGGCAAAGCCCGGCCAGATCCAGTGGGGCAAGTTTACAGTTCTGCGCTTCTGTACGACGCAGCTACAGGTAAGTGCAAGCAGGGGGCCATGAACAGGTTTTTGAGCAGGTTTGTATTTCAGGTCAGTACAACAACCAGCTCTACCAGTCGCTGCCTCAAAGTGAGGGCCAGTTCGGGTTTAACCAGAGGATACAGCCCTATGTGCATCAGCAGCAGCAACAACAACAACAGCGCAGGCCACCCGTTAACCTACAGCTTCAAGCTCAGCCTACGCCGCTCTACAGACAGCAGCAGGTGGGTTACAACGTCTATGACGATAACGTGGAGTACTGACCCATGGAGGAGGCGCAGCGGTGACGTTCTTCCTGTCACTAACCTCACAACTCATCATCTGTACATTTTCACCATTGGAAGCCGTTGCCATACATTCAATGTTAACCCCACTCGCTCTTTTTCTCACTCTCTCTCTCTCTGCATGGACTCTACTAGTTCTTCTTCTTGTCCAATCACATCAATGGAATCTGCACGGGCGCTTTCACTGGCTGATCGCCGATTAACGCAACGTTTCTCTAGATCAACCCTCAGGCGGTCTATCAGGCGCAACAGGCCGAAGTGCAGTTTCAGAACTCGGCGCAACTGTACGCGCAGCAACAGAAGGCACGTCAGCAGCAACAAGCAACCTCAGTGGCGCCCCCTGTTTACTACATTCAGCCGTCAGTGAGCAGCACAGGCGCTTTGGGAGCCGGACAAATCGACGCCTTTCTTCGAGGCCACAACATTCAGTTCTAGTTTCCTTTTGAGTTTGTTGCTAAGCCCGTTTCTCCTCGAGTCTACTAGAGGGATGTTAGTTCTGTCTGCAAGTTTTCATGAGGGGCGGGATCGTTCGAAGCCACTGCCCCAATTCTTTGATGCTTTCATGCGGCCAACTGCATTATTTATTTAATTTTGTACATTTGTGTTTAGGCTCTAGTTAGGACGATGTATTGTTATACTATTAAGCGTCTGTCTATTTATATAAATATATGTATATAATTGACATTGTCTGAATTTTTTTTGGGGGGTTTTGAGGATAGAGATTTTTCTGCTTCTAACTTTTTAAGCCTTCAAATTTTCTATTAAAAAAGTTTCTTTGATTATTAAAATTTTTTTTGCCGTTTAGGAGGTAAACGCTCTTGAACTTCTTGCCAAAAAAAACCCAATTTTTTCAGGTTTTTAAAAAAAATTAAAATTTCTATTAAAGAAAAAATAATAAAAGATAATGTAAATAATAAAAAAAGTAAATAAAGAAAACAGCTCTTGCTGAGCTTTGGCGAAAATAGGTGTCAATATATTTTTAGCCATTTCCCAGATAGATTTATTAATTTCCGCTTAAATTGTCGCTTAAAACGGACATTTTACTTTTAACTTACGTCTTCTTAAAGGTTGGAAATTTCGTATAAAGTGTAGTTATGGAACTGTAGCTCTTGAGATGCGCTATCGAAAAGTTTCTACTGACTTTTTGCATATATTCAACCGTTTAGGAGATAGAAGGTCTTGAACTTGGGCTTAGGGGCCGAAAAGCTTTGAACAATTTGATGGAATATTTGCAACCGTTTCTGAGCTAAGAGCTGTTTTGACGCTGAGTGTTGTTGGGCTGCTCACATTTTCGCTTCCGCCGTTTTAGGGCGTAGGATTGTCTAACCAAATTATGAGCCGCTGGCCGCAATCCAAAACTTAGCAAAAAATTGCTTCATCGGCCAGTTGACTCTTGGGTTGGGCAACATCCGCACCAAGTGCCACCCGAACATGGACAACAAACACTCTTCAGGCCTGTTTTCAGCAAATCCCCTTGACTAATTGCATTATGGATTGCAAGACGAAAAAAACGAATTTCACAATTTGCATCTAAATGCAGCCATTCTTCACTATATGGGACAGTTCACAGGCCATCATTGTTTCGCTCTTATTGTGTCTTAGTTTGAATGCTGAAGCATGGCGCTTTGTTCTTGAGGATTTTCCCAGCAGTCAATGCAGGATTGGGTCGAGGATTTTTTCCGTCGGTCACTTGAACTCATTAAGCTGAAGAATGTTTGGAAACTGTTAAACCCAGGCCTGGCTTTTATCCCACGCGACCTCCACTTTGGGTGCTTGTTGAGCAACAGTTCCTCTTAACTATGGAGGCTGTTGTTTAGGTGCTAATTTGAAAATCAAGTGGTACTTATGGTAATGACTTAATGAGGTTTCTTGTGGTCATTAACGGCCTGATGGACAAGAAGCGTCTTTTAGAAGAAACGCGACTGGACGGAGAATTTTCACTGCACGCTGTGACATAATCGCATATAATGAGAACCGGTTATTCAATAGAAATTAACATAAAATAGCGGCGACTTCCTGAAAGAAAGATGTTTCAGTGGAAATCTTTGGACCAAGTCAAAGGCTGGAATTGGCTGCTATCGCACAAACCACCGCAAAGATCAAGACAAAGCTGTTGGCCCTCATGAGTTCATAAGGAAGCAAACATCGCGGCGATCTGATCGATCTTCTTCTAATCTTCAACAACTCAAGCTTCAATTGCTTCATCATCATCATTATCAGCTGCCTAATTGCATATCGCACACGCCACTTTCACTGCATCATGCAACCGGCCGGTACCAACCCAATTTTCCTCCGTTTGTTGTCGTTCGCATTTTCGACCGAAATCTGCTTCTTTTGCGAAGCGCGTCGCAAGGTCGCCTCCTTCTCAATGGCCTACGTTATATAGGGAACCCGCATGGTGCTCGCCAATAGTCAGTGGTACCGTGGCTAAATGGCATGAGCGAAAATGGCCCATCTTAGAAAGGTGAGTCTTAAGTGCGTGATTCCTTCAACTTCAACTCATTTGGGTCCAGTGAGGAGACTTCATTTGCTGCCTAATCTAAATTTGTGGATTTATGGCGTGATTTTACAGTGAAAGTTTCGGATTTTTCCCATCGTCCGAGCCTTGCCCGAGGATTTATACTTAAAAAGCCTCAGTAATTTTTTGAGTTCATAATTTCTTCCATGCCCACAGGACGAATTTTTTTAAATGTTTGATGTATTTGGAAAGTTTCGAATTTTTTGCATTATCGGATCTATAAGGCAATTTTTTTTTATTGTATAATGCCCACTTAACAACAAAAGCAGGTGAAGTTTTTAAGCTTATGACTATTAAAGAAAATCCTTTGAGGACTAAAATGGTTTCAACTGTAGCAAATGCAGTTTTTCTGAAAACTAATAACCCCATTTCAGTTGCACTAAAAAATCTCCCTTAAACAAACGCATAAAGTTTAGAATCCCTAAATCATCCTCAGGATTTCACCGTTTTCAGTTGTATCCTATTGGCAACATTTTCACAATAAGAAAGCGCCGCTTCAGTTACTTAAACCCACTGTATGAATGTCGAGCGTGAAATGACACCGAAGCCTGAAACATCCTCCAATTCCAACGCAGCCAGCCATATCAGTTGAAAAATCGTCAGCCAACCTTAACGCGACATTTCGATTTAATTGAATTTTCAGATTCTGCTGCTGCTGTCGCTGCTCGCGCTCAAAGGACGGTGCTTGGAGGGCCTGAACCAAACCGAGCAAGCAGTCGAAGAGCTGATCCAGTCAGAAACCAAAGACGGAAAGCTGGAAATTGTAAAGCGCATCAAAAAAATCAATCCTGATGGTTCCTACACGATTGGCTACGAAGCAGACGACGGTTCATTCAAAATCGAAAGCAGAGACGTGCTTGGCAACATCAAGGGGACCTATGGGTTCGTGGATGACGAAGGAGAGATTAAGAGAGTGTCCTATAGCTCCAGTAATGCGAGCGATGTCTTCCCCAACAAGTCCCAGCTGTTCCCAGCGTCCTCAGTGGTGCAGCGTATCCCCAAGTCTACAACTGCTAGGCCCATCAGCTCTACAAGCTCCACAAGCGCCCCAGCATCCACAACGCCGCTCAGCGTCATCCAGAGCATAGCCAGACGTCGAGTCACTCAAAGTAGCACCTCGACGACAACAGCCAGGCCCAATGTGGTGGTCTACAGCTCGGCAGCCCCTCGAGTCCTGCTGCAGCGCCCCTCTTTGAGCAAACTGCCCGAAGCTAAATCCGAAGTGCAAATCAACCGGCCCGAGGCCTCAATAAAGCGGCAGCACTTCGAAGACATCAAGCCTGTAACGGAGGAATTCAGCGAGGTTCGCTCCAATCTGCTCAGACGCCAGACTTTGGGAGAGCCAGGGTTTAACTCCCCATTCGTGCACAACGATGACCAGGATGTGTACAACAGTGTCACCTCTCGTCCTCTGTTCACCACATCCAGGCCTCCAGTTCGGTTGGGACTAACCACAACTGCGCCCAAACCTTTAGAGGACAGTTTCCAGAGACATCAGCTTGAGGAGGTGGAGAGCAACACGGCAGTGAACAAAGTAGGGCTGGCGCCCACTCCCGAGCCTCTAGTAGCCATTAGGCATCCTTTCCAACAAGGCGCCATCCTGGTGCCGCTCAGTCAGCTCCAAAACCGCATCCTCCCAGTGGAAAATATGCAGGAAGTTTATCAGGCCAGGCAAAACTATGCAGAGCGCCAGCAAGTGAAGCGTCTCACTCCTGCGGGTTTGCGGCCCCTCCCAGTGCAGGTGGACGCAAATGGGTTCATCCACCAAATGCCATCCACTCCCTACCCCATCACAATAACGCCTACAGAGTTGCCCAGCGGCGACATAGACCAGATCCAGCCCCCGGTGAGCACCAGGGACTTTCAAACCCTCCTCAACCACCTGATTAGGCGCCAGAAGATGCTGGAAACCATCAGTGAGCTAATGCAGCGCGAAAAACAATTCCCTGGAGGCTTTCGCAGGTACCAACCTAGACAGCAAGTGGGAGTGAGGTTGGAGGAGGAGGTGCCTGGGGGCTATGAGTACCAGGATGAGCGGCAGTATGTGGGCAGGAGGAGAGCTTCCAGGGGTTACCAGCCAGGTGAGTGTAGGCTTGTCCTGTTACTTCAGGTGTAGAGTGTGCTGTTCCTACAGAGGTCACGAGAGGAAGAGGGCCGGAGGAGGAGTACCTGCCTGCAGAGGTGCGCGAATCTTTGCTGCTGCGCATGCTGAAGCTGGCCATGAATCCGGCATTGCCGTTGCAGGAAGATGAGGACGCGGAGCCTCAACAGGTAGCCACGGCGGCGACACTGCAATACCGCAAACTGCCAATGAGGAATGTGGAAATAATCGGTGAAGAACAGCTGGAGGACACCGATGCAAAAAAGCGCCGAGCGAAGCGCTACAAGGACGAAGACATGGAGTACATGGAGTAGCTTAAAAAGTCAATCACCCTGTATAGTATTTATTAATGGTAGTAGTTGTGTAAATATAGAATGGCGTAAAAGTTACCAAAGATATGTGAGAAAAACACCTGAACTGGTTGCGAATTCATAATAAAGAAAACAATGAAACATTTACATGACGCTTGATTAGAAAAACCCCGACTAATTAAAATGCGTTAAAGATCGCTTTTCTCACGATATGGTTCTTTGCAATCTTCCACGCGAAAACGCCTTGAGAGCCGCAGGAAGGCCCTAATCGACTATAATGGTCCACTTATCTCATTGCCTGATCTCGTAAGTAGCGCAACTTAAAACACTACCAAGTGTTTTAGTGTGCGCCGCAATGTTATCGATTGCTCCCGGTCTAAACACGCTTAAAAGGGGCAGTGTTCATCTGCAGAAAGCCGCCAAAGTGGTCAATGGTAAGTAGAAGTGCAGTGCGCCAAAAATCGAGCTTCTGATGCTTTTTGCAGATCAGATCGGATCCAGGCAAGTGCTGGCGTTTTTCGTCCTCACGGGGTTTGTTCTGTGCGGAGTGGTAGAACAGAGCGCTTCAGTGGCTTTGAGGGCGAACAGCACTTCCAGCTACTCAGCAGCTGAGTTTGCTGAGTATGTGGAGAACACCAGCTACATTACCAGGTATTGTCAGCCGCTGGAGGATAGTAATGGGACTGAAAGCACCTATACGATTCATGTAGTGCGATCCATACCGCATATTGAGGTAAGCTAACCCTCAAACACTCGTTCCGGTTGGTTTATTGGGCCTCCAATTGGGGTCTTTGGAGGAAGCAAGTTTTTTCATTCCTTTTTCTAGTTTCACTTCAAAAACAAGTAAAATATTGAGATTTCCCTTGAAAGGGTGGCAGTGCTGCAGGTTTCAGGTGGTTTTTCCTCACAGATTCCCATGACCAGGACGGATGAAACCGAAGGCGTGCTCCGCCAGGCCTTCATGTGGGGAACTTTGGTTTCTCCGCTAGCGGCCAGTAGGATCGCCGCTCGAGTCGGCGCCGAGCGCCTGTATGGAGTAGGGGTTCTAGGAACTGGAGTGGTGGCTGTCCTGGTGCCCGCCAGCTGGCTGACCGCTGGGCACGTTTGCGTCCGCATTGTCCAAGGCATTTTTATGGTACTGCCAGGCGCCCAACCATAGTTTCCCGCTATTAACCTTCTGGGGGGTTTAGGGGGCCACTTGGCCAGCTGCCCACATGTTGGCAGTCACCTGGATCAAGCCCAAGAACCTCAGCGCTTTTGTGTCCCTCTATTCTGGTAAGAAGCTGATGAAGGCCGCAATCGAGTAGGAAAATTGTGGGGTGTTTCAGCGGTGAATCTCGGCTACGCAGTGGTGGGGATTTTGGGAACGGTGCTGGTGCGCCACTGGGGCCGCGACTGGCTCAGCTACGTCATATCAGTGGTGTCGGGAGTTTGGTACTTTCTCTGGTGGAGGTTTGTTGAGGAGTCGCTCCATCCCAATAGGCCCAAGCGCGATGTGAGTTTTCCATGCCGTTGAAACAGGGGGTTGTTGAACAAAATGCATAGGAACACCGGAATTTGCCTTGGAGGAAGCTGCTGGGGTCCAAGCCGGCGTGGGCGTGCGGAGTAGCAGTGGTGGGGAGCCAATGGGCTGACGCCACCTTGATGCTGGGCGTGACCAAGTACCTCAAACTGGTCTATGGGTTTTCCATTGAATACGCAAGTTCTCTTATTGGCTGTATTGATCTGTTCCTCTGTAAAGCACCGGTTTTTCAGGAGGATATTCTGCAGTCCATGCCGCACATCGGTCATTTCTTCGCCGCCATCACCTTTGGAATAGTTGTAGACCATGTGAGGGCTTCTGGAATAGTCTCTACCACCACAGCACGGAAGCTCTTCGTCTACATGTGTAAGTGGCGACATCTGCGGGAAATTCCTTCAGCTACTGGCATGTTTCCAGCCCATTTTCCTCCGGCCGCTCTGATGTTCATCCTGGGTTACACTGGATGCGATCCAGCCGCCCCTGCCGCCCTCTATGTGGCAGCGCTAGCAATGACAGGCGCCACCGCGTCTGGTGTATTTAGCAGCGCTGCAGACATTGCGCCCAACTTTGCAGGTTTTTATCACCGCTTTACAGCGCTCTGTTTTATCCTGATGATTTGCAGGCACGGTCTTCGGGCTCTGCCAGACAGTGGGCGCTGCCGGTCTGCTTGCAGCCAATTACGCCGTTTCCGAAGGGTTGCATGGATCGGTGAGCTTTTCCAACTCACCTCCATACGGTTAAAGATTTTTTTTTTAGTTTGCCGGTTGGTGGCGACTAGTTTTTGGCGCATCCACTGCCATCTTGCTCTTCACCGCCATATTTTTTATGATTTGGGGTAGCGGCTCGGTTCAAGACTGGAACGAGTCGGAAAACGAACCCTCTATTGAGTTGGAGGATGTGGAGGAACCATCCAGGCTGGATTCTGTCTTGGAGTAGTCCCGTCTCCATCCGAATAAATAATTTTTCTTCGTAATAAAGTTGCTTAATTAACACGAAGGAATCACTTGCAAGTTGACAGGAATTTGTTGCGACATCAACTCGGATCCAACAGAGCGACACCAATTAATGAGCCGCATTCATCAGATGCACAACCGGCTGAAGCCATTAAGTTCTTTGTGGCCGAGTACAATGTGCAGCGAATCCAATTAACCTGGAAGAGAAGACTAATGGGCGCAGCTGGCGCGGTTCTCGATTTCAATTGCTAATGCACACACTCTAAACTCATTAAATTTGATGGAGTCGCTGATCGCTAAACCAGGTCTGGTTTCCACCAAAAAATTGTTTTTTTTTGCCTTAAACACTTCAATCATTGAGCGCGTTGTAGTGAAACATGGCCGCATCTGACTCGAGAAGAGCCCCTCTGTGTCACTCGGGTGGTTGGGACTGAGACAACCTTACCCAAATCTGCCGATACACTGCAGGCAAATTGAACACTGTTTGAAAAATATTTCTGATCGCTCCCAGCAGGTTTAATGGAGCAGAATTCGCGAAGGAATGGAATTAAATGGAAACTCCGGCCAAAATCGATGGTCTAATGAGTGCAAGAGGTAAAGTTCCCAATTACTAGCGGGCTTTAATGATGAAACGCTCCCAGCCGGGCCTGCCTCATTAGAGCCATGAATAACGCCAATCCAAACAGTTAAAAAGTGGCTTTTCCTCCAGAAAAGCCAACATTCGTTGCTGATAGTGGCCCGATAAATATCCAGGAAGAATTTATTTGCCCACTGTTCCGCCCACTGCATGCTCCCCTTGAAAGAATTGAGAAATTGCCGCCCGCTTTAAACCAGTAAAGTTTCGCTGGATTTTCTAACACTCTTATCCAGAAGCTGTTCAAATGTTCACTGGTTTATTCGCAATATAGCAACACTCTAAACATGAATCTTCAATTTTTGGCAGGTTTATATCGAAATTAGATTGAGACAAGAACGGCTGGAGATTATCAGCGTGCGAAAGAGAGAAGGATTTAGTTTTGGATAGGCCTGTATACACTGCTGAGCTGTTGAAATGTGCGCGGCTAAATTAAATTAATTCAATAAAATTATTAGGCGTTCTGGATTGGAGATTTTTTTTATTTTCCAACCATTCGAGCTTAACAAGGCCGGAGTAAAAAGACAGGCTCACGCTCAAATGGTCTTTGTGTGATATTTCGATACATCGAGAGCGGCCTCTTTATGGCACAAAGCGGCTTAATAGAAAGTATAGGGCCGAGTCAAAGGAGCCATACGTGGAGTGGAGAGGGTCGCCCTTATCTTGCGGCTCGAGTGCGGTTTTGAGTCCTCATTTCAATAATTCGGGGGAGAGTTCTTTTTTCCCGATCATGTTCATGTTTCGGGGATTATTTCACTTGGGACGCAGATACGAAGTTGCCAGAGTGAGAGCTTAATTAAAAAGTTGTCCCGAAACTACACTTTGAAGTTCGCTAAAGAGTTAATCAGGTGTTTGGAGGGGTTCGCTTTAGACAGGAGTTTAATGAAGTCAAAAGTTTCCCTAATCTACTTTAATTGAGTTTATTTCTAGTTCGTTATCGACGTTAAGTGAATTTCCCAATTTCTCAAATGATGAGCATGTTTGATGGAAATCAGCACAGCAAGTGAGAGTGAGACAGAGCTTGCCCAAGCAGCACTCTGGAGTGTTGCCCTGCAATAAACCGGTCAAAAATTGCAGAATTCTGGGTCGTTCTTCGCATTAATTCCAGTTCGCATTGCTTGATGTCGTCGCTTTTCCGCTCCAGCCCCATATTGAATAAATCCGAGTTCGGCATAACAGTCGAAGCCAAATAAAGCGTTCGCTCGTTTCGTTTTCGCAAACTTATTTATTTCCCTTCCCGGCCAGAAATTAGATCTATAAATCAGAAGTTAGGTGGAAACAAAATAAATAATCAAAACAGGTCATTACTTTAAAAGTCGTATCTCAGACGTAAAGAGTAATGGGCGTGCTCACGGGCCGCAATGGCCCCATAAATAATAAAAATGTGCCTTCTCTGTCTTTGCTCGCTGGATTTCGGCCATCGTGATTAAACGCGTCATATAACAACAAATGAAAAAAAAATACGAAAATTGCTCACTTTCACTAGTGGCTGGTTTATCGCAGCAGTTTCTCACCTACAACTCGTGCTGCTTGAGTGAGAAGGCTGTGCCTTCAGCCAACGGTGAGAAGCGAGATGGATCTTGCCCCAACTGAGCGACTGGACCATAAAATAGGGCCGTCAGCTGCTGAAAAATTGAACTATTTAATTCTTCCACGGAGTGGATATAAATTAAAAAGAAACCCTGTTTTATATTGTTCGTTTCACAGCCCACTAAGCCAAACGGGCTGTAATTAAGGTAGGCGAACATCTATTTTAAAGTTGGGCAAACTTCGAGGCCAATGTGTTAGGAAAACTGGGCCGCAAATCACGCTGCTTGGTTGAACTTTGGGAGTTTCGACCAAAGTTGCGACTTTTCTGCTTGGTTTTAACATTTCAATTAACACGAACAGCGCGATGTGCACGCACAGGAAAAATCACTATTTCAGGCCCCAAGTGTGAGTTCTCCCCTTAAAGTTGGGGAAAACGCTTTAATTAAACAGGCTTCGGAACTTATGTCGTTACAAGATAATTTGTAGCAGCTGCAAAATTCGCCGATCCCAATTATTCACGAGAGAATTACATTATATCACGTATCATCAAGGGGATGGTTTAATTTCTCCTAATTGTTTTACTGATAAAACTTAGTCGCAGCTCGCAAGCCTGGAGAAATGGGGACGAGCTGGGGCTAATTAGGCCTGGAATCTGGGGATTTTTGATCGGCGCTAATGCTCCCGATTGGAATAAATCCCGTTCAATTATCACCTCGAGGCGATGGGGGTCAGCCGATCCCAAATCTGAGATTGGTTCCATGTTCCCTCCAAACTGGGCTATGCCCAGAATTTCAACTAGTTTCCGGATTAGCTTGTTTGTCGCTGTACACTCTGCATGTCTTGGCTAAACTACAAGTTTCGGACCAGGACCCGAATGCTTAAACACCGCCCTCCGGTCCAGTTTATCGAACTTTTGCCGATCGAAATGTTAAAGACTAAATACAACTAATCGTACTGACTAAACGCTCTTCCCACAAAACAAGCCAAAAACACTTCAAACTATCGACAGCTTATATCAATAGCGTTGTTGTTATGTGGGAGACCTGGTCAGGCAAGGTTTGTCTCGCTCACGCTTGTGAGTTTGCCGGGCGATAGCTGATCGGCGACCAAAGCGGACAGCCTTCATTCTACACCGTGAAAAAGTTGAAAGTTGCACCAAACGGTGAGAAAATTAAAAATATTTTTAGCAGCAAATTTGAGCCATTGAGACGAACAAAGCGCAGCAATCACCGTATGTAAATTCGCAGCCCGGGTCTTGTTGGCTGTTTTCAAATCGTCCAACCTCGTTTTCCTGTTTCATAACCCGCATAAAAGGGCCCATTGGATGTTCGCATGGAATGTTTTGAATAATTTGCTCAGTGTTTGATGGCGCGCGAACTATTGATGCCAGATTGTATCCAGCACATTTCCATTTGTCCTTAATTAAACCAACAGACCAAAAAAAATGGGTTGTTAATTGGGGATTATTGTGGGCGTTTGATTGATTGATGTGAATGCAATCGGGCTAAAAGCCCCATAAATCCCAGTCTAGTTCCTCAACTCCATTACCAGTGTGACTGGAAAGTTGGAAAAACAATCCGCTTACACTATACGGAAACTTCCAACTTCCATTAGGCAATTCGCTTTTTGCAAACTCTCAATGGATGATTTGAACGCAGCTCTGATTTGACTGTTGAATTATGACTTTGCCTTCGAGTTAATTAGAGCGAAAGATTGCGAACAATCGCAGTGATCGAATAAAACCCCGCCTGGCAAATATCTGGATTTCAATCAGGAGGCAAACATTCGAGCCCAATCGTCGACCTGTCCAGTTTCTGTGCCTTTCTCGTTAGAGGCTAATGTGATTTGTTTCAATGGCGTCGAATGGTTGTCAATGGCGCAGCCGAAACGTCGAGGTAAAACTACGAAATGTGGTTGATCGATTGGAAGGACGGCTGATCAAGCGCGGCGCAATAGCAAAACCAAATGGCCCCTAAAGTGTGTTTTTCGTATGGATGGAAGAACGAAACTTATTCAATAACATCGGCCAAACTTTCCGTGCCGCTTCCGGTTAGGTAATCCATGCTTGAGTAAAAGTTGTCCCGTATTGGAAAAGTTTGCATTTGAACAATGCGGTTGCTTCAATTGGTGAGCGGTTTGTTAACAAAACTCCAGGCCTATGAGGAGCATGTTGTCGCACCTATGTGGTTTTCTCTAATTAGCGGTTGGGAGAGAGGCAGACATCGCCCAGCGAGCGAGTCTAGAGTAGACCTCCGACTCGGCATAAGCTGCTCGCAGCTTGCAGTGCGGAAAAAGTCATGAACGAATAACGCCAACAACTAATTGCCCCAATGTGTTTGATGTTGGGAAAAAGCTGTTTTCCAGCTAAATCGAGGCGTTATCGCCCTGGCAATGTCTGGGGTAGTAAATGAAGCAAAATTCGTATTCAGCATAACTTTGGCACGTTTTCTTGTTCTAATATATCGTCGCTTTCCCGAAACTCGCAATGCCACTCCAGTAAATTAGCAGTTTTGCCCCCCTTTGTTTCCTCTCGGTTTATTAGCGGCGTTTTTGTCTGTTTGTGCCAACTTTACCATTCAAACGTGTCTGAAATGGGGCAATTTCGCCTTAAAATCCGCCGAAAGAATGTCTTGTTTTTCATTTACTTTGTAGCGCCCAAAGTATTCAAAGCAAATTAGAGGTTTTTCTTGCTCGTTTCCAGTCCTCAACCACTGGCAACAAAGCCTAGGACACGACATGCGCCTATTATAAAGAGACAATCAAATTACTCTTAGAATCCATTTTATGCCTACTCGTTTCAGCTCTACGCGGATTTATTATTAAAGTGCCTTTGACGACCAAAGCGGCTCGCATTAA